TATTACAATAATATATTGGATTTTAAACTAGATCAGCGACTAATATAATTATGCATATTAAACAATGAAATGCCGAGAAAAATATTCTGTAGGAACAATAGAAATATATAGCCAGGCTGAAAAACTTGTAGGTACAATTTTGTTAAAAGTTAATTTTTTTTTTTGTAAGAAGTGGTTTACATACTCAGAATTATAAACCGTAGATGTTATTGAGATCATTAGATATTTTTCTTAAACATTCAATGAAAATCTAATTTATAAAATATAAAATATGTGGTTTATTTTGTCTTATGAATAATTGAAGTTTTTATACATACAGGTTTTTTTGTCAATTCAACATGGCTGTTGATGTATATACATTTTTAAATATAAAGGAAGGAGATGGTCTGGGGTGGTGGTCCTAAATAGGCTAAATAGTTTTGCCACTATTTAGCCTATTTATGACCGCAACCAGGATCATCTCCTTCCTTTATAATGCAACATTCAACTATTAAATATTCAATTTTTAAATATATTTCTGACAGAAAAAAAAAATGTGATAAGATAAAAGAACAATTTCTAATCAATCTATTCTGTTTTTGAAAATAAATCCTTTCAATCATTTGTGTAGGGGATCAAGCCAGGCATATCCCACATCTAATGAAATCCAAAAACTTGTAAAAATTGATGCACCGTTAACAAATAAAATTACCTATTAAGAAGGACAGTTTTTTAATATTTCTGAAAATAATTATTACAATAGGTTAAGGTGTGTTAGCATTGAAATATTAACCGTAACATCGCTATTATCCAAAATTTCAATAACATTTGTGTTATTAACATTTTATGGCTGAAAAATACTAATGCTATTAACAATTTTCTAGGATGCAAGTAATTGATATGCCTATGATATTTTAATAATCATTTATGGTAACTTTACTAACCTTTTTCTTAATTTTATAGACATTTCCCTCATTTCATCTTCTCTGTCCAGTCTTTCTTGTTCTTCTTTTTCTTTCTTTTCTCTCTCAGCCTTTTTATCAGCTTTATCTGAGAAAAGAAAATTGACATTATGCCTTATGGTGTAAATAAATCTTCTAAACTAATAATAACCTGTCCTGGTAAAAATAAAAAGACCAATTTCAATATTTTTCTCTGTAAAAGGTACGAGGAAATATTTCAAGTTCACCATACATTGTTTGTTGAGCAAAGCTTGCATTTTTTTCTTAAGCCTCTCTTGAGGAGTCATCTTTGGTCCAGCTGTTGAAGTGCTTGGCCCAGCCTGGAAATGAATATTATCATTTGTAAATTTATAGCAATATGAATTATACTAAATTGGGACAAAATAGGACATAAAAATATGGGCATCACAAAACCATTTTAATGAACCAATTTCATTATTTTCATTTCAAAAGAGTAAAGATTAAATAATGAAATATAATTTGTTGTAGATCCATTAAATTAATGACTAAGTAATGCCTGAAATCCATCTTCATATCCTACCCTAAAAAAAATAATTTATTATTTTAAAATACCAATATCAGACATTGACTTGATGCCTAAAACTAAAATTTTCGTAGCTAACTAAAAAACAGGAAACAAAAAAGACTAATAATAAGAAATTTACCTAAGCCCGATTGATACAAAAACAGCTATTATGTAGGAGCAAAATTTGCAGTAAAGCACGATGTCTGTGACGGTATTGCGAATAAATATTAATATTTTACCAACATAACATTTAATTGCTGGAGTCACCATATAGTAATAAAAACTTAAACATTTTTATTTCTTTTCAACATTTTACCAATTATATGTTAAAATAACTGGCTGAAAATAAATATACTTTTGTTTGTACTTTCAATATTTTGAAAAATAAAGCTCTTTCTAAATTAAAAAAATCTTTTTCAAAAATACATAAATACAAAATATAAAAATTCCATGATAATATAGAGATGGTTGACCGTGATGATAATATGAGGAGTTGGTTGGGGGGTGTGATCAAATGAATACTATTTTGATATATAGTATTCATTTAACCGCAACCCCCCATTCCATGGATGAACCTTGGGATCGGGAAACCCTCAGGCTCTGTAAAGCGGGTATTTTAATTAAATAATTAAGGGAGAAAACGCAGCGATTGAGCATATCCCTGCTCAATCATTTCCCTAAACAAGAGCCTTGAAACAGTAATTTCTTACAATGTACTGAGCCCAAGTCCCTTCATAAGTTGTAGTGATACAACCTATACCAATATTCATTAAACTATTTAGTTATTCCAAATAAACATTTTGTCCCTGATATAGAGAAAATATATATATATATATATATATATATATATATATATATATATATATATATGTTTTAAATTAAAAAATCAAGTAGATGACTATTAAAAAGAATAAAATAGCACATGGAATTTCAGCACACCAACTGATAATAATATCTTTTTGGAAAAACAGTAAATCACTCCTAAGAAATTTTATACTAGGCTTCAGAAACCATAGGCTAAATCTATTTGTTTTTCTTAAAATAAATCAAGTAATATGGTTTGAGAGACGGGGCGGAGGAGCATTGCCCAGCATGTAACTAAGGCAAAAATAAACAAATATGTTTCCATTTCAGTTTCAGGTGAAATTAGATTCATAATAAAGTGACGACAACAGGCGAAACTTTGCGTATGTAATAAGGAAAAAATAAAGAAAAAATGGTGGAACAAATATAGCCTAAACATTTTATTATGTTTCCATAATTTAATAAGTTAATGAAACCAAATAACTGGTTTTTGCAAATAATATATTAGGTACTAATGGAGTAAGCCCCACTGGAGCCTACAAATTGGCTTATTAATCTAAGCCAAGTGACGCTGACAAAAATAAAATAATATGTTAGTTCACTAACTAGCAATTACTCATATTGGGTTGAGGAAAAAGTAATTTATTTTTTTTCATGTTTTTCAAAGACAATTTATTTATATAAATTTCAAACAAATAATTCGATAAATTTCAAACTAGTTTTTCACTATTTTTTTTTTTTTTCAAATTGAACCAATGAGTATTCAGTAAATTTCAAACACTAACAATTCCTATCCAATCACCCAAAAAACTCAGCAGCATCTTCATCGGTGTCAATCTGGGTTATTTTTTTTGTTTGGGAAGCTTCTCCAGGCTTTGATCCCCTTTTCATCATACGTAATCATTTGATTCAACAATGACTAGATTTCGTTTCATTTTAGCAACAATTCACAAATGGAAACTCAGTCCATTAAATTATTCAATGTTAATTTGTGTGGAATCCAAGTATACACATAGCTGGATGTATAGCTTATAGATATATAGATATGGAATGTATAGCTTTTTATGGTATCCAGCCTTATATAAATTGTTCAAAACTATTTCATGATCACTTTTTAATTCTGCAATGATGTGAGATGAAATATGTCGGTCTACCTCAATTTTTTGAAAAATTTCATTGACTTTTTGAACGATTGGTTGGCCAGCGCGAGGTTCATCTTTAATGTCAAAATTTTCAAAATTAAAAGGAGCAAACTCATTTTAACACTGGTATTTGCTTTAGCACTGATCACCATAAATATCATACAATTTTAATGAGCCTGAGCAGCATTTTTCTTTATTCGGAATTAATACATCAAAGTGGAAATGACCTGGAACCTCCATTTTTAAAGTGCAATAACTGTTGAACGAGTAAATGAAAGATGCTACTTTTATATATAGAATGTTCTATGGACTATCACCTTTCAAATGCACAACAAAATGGCTTCATTCAAAAATGATTACAGGAGATTTAAATCACCTATTGGAATAAAACTAAATTACTTTTTCCTCAGCCAAATATTTAGTTTATTATTCCATGAATACATTGATAGATTATCTTGTTGTATTTTATATTAGCTCAATGAATTGTATAAATTAAATTATATTTCTGATATTACAAGAAGGAAATAGAACAGTTAATAAATGTACTTCCATACATACATTAGAATAGTTAATAAATTTCCTTGATATAGCACATCTATATCAAGTGATTGATAGAAAATAAAATATTTTAAATAGAACACATCAGAATAAAAATAAAGTATCTTTATGAAAGAAGTATTTACAAGAATAACAACTCAACTCTCAAAAAAGTATTGACAAGCAAACCTACAAAAGTGTTATTCAACAGTTTTACTAAAATTTGGTGACCTTTGGCCTAATATTTTATAAGAAACTTATGAGAAAATGGCACCGAACCTAAATGATATGACTAGGAAACAAATTTATAGATTTTTTTCCTTTGGAATTAAGCGCATTTTATGTTACACATAGTGTCCAGCGATATAGTCTATAAAAATTTAATCATCTGAAGACTGTAAAATATTAAATTTAAAACAAACAGAAATTATAAATGTTGAAGACTTCAGATGAAATGTACAATTGGGAATTAAGAATGAATGAAGTAATTAACATTAACAGATACAGACATTTTCAAAATTGTAATGTTGCATCGAAGAGTGCTAAGGTGGTAAACTCAATATGCTAAGGCCATTTTAATGATATAAGCCAACATATTAATCTTTCAGATCAGGACAATCTTGATCCTTCAAAAAAGAAAAAAAAAATAATAATAGTAAATAAATTTTGAATACTGGTTTTTCAAAGTTATTTAGAAATACAATTTCAGTAAATAACACTCCTGAAGGTTTTCTTGAAGATGGCCTAATTGTTTGAAATTGTTGTACTTGAGTAAATCAGTTTCAATTACAATGGTTGAAAAATATAAATGAGTACATTCATAAAAGTAGTAATAACATCATTGTAAAAGTGAATAAATATATAGTGGAACCTCCATTATCCGGAGTTTGATCAACTGGAAAACCAATTAATGGAACCCTATATTTTTTTTTCATGTAAATAATAAATAATACTTAATTGGCTACTTTTAATGATAATGAAGCAAAGAGTGAGATTTTTATAGGATAAAAGGTATGTACAAATATACTTTGAAAAAAAATAAAGTTTATCAAGAATTTTTTTAATAAATTCCGTAAAGAAGGATTTACCATCGTGACTTGTTCTAATAAATCCAGATCACACAATTTGAAATTAGTTGCTATTAAGAAGCTAACAAAGCCTCAGCCTTTTGAAGGAACAAAGATTAAAAGACTTGTGGGCGACTGCTAAAATCTTTAGTTTTTACTGTAGGGACAGATCGAACGGAGTGCATGTGCCCCATTTTGTAGTAGTCTATGAAAGATTTGTTTTTAACGTACTCAACTTCATATGGATATGATTTGATTCACGAATGCTTGTTAAATTCTATGTAATTTGCTGATGTGTAGATCACTTCGTTTCTGAGCTTCTTACTTACAATATCGAAGATTCATTGCTTTGAAAAGATGAAACTAGAGTTATTTTTTCACCCCGTATTAAATTTTCTAATTCATGAAAGCAATTCTCTAACTCTAACTAGTTGAGATTCGGCAGAATTGTAGCTTTTTTCCAGTCAAGCTCATTTTGCAGTGTTCAGGAGATTTCAATAGTTTTGAAGCCCCTTTAATATTATATACCCACTTACCCCTCTCTTCTTTGCTTCGTCTAGTTCCATAGTAAACAGTGCCGGCCTCAGACAGCATTTGCCCAGAGGCGCCGGGCTGGAAGTGCCCACTATTCTTAAAAAAATAATTCAAAGCACATGAGAAAACTAATTTTAGCCTATTAATAAAGCTAACTGATACTGTAAGTCAATGGGCAAGATGGTTTATACATTCGGTATTTACATGACCACTTTCATTGAGCATTTCATAACGTTTTTTGGGTAACGACACAATCTCCATAATCTTCACTGTAACTTACACTTTTTTACATCACAATTTGCTGGTTTTTACAAAATGCCACAGAGAAGAAATGAAACATCGAAGATTTCATTTTTTGGGATCAGAATATGCACCAGGACAAGATTGATCAGAAAAGCTCATATTCTCCTTTTTCATAGAAATTGTTCTAACAGACTTATGCAATGTGGCTGTCAATATGTGCCATCAAATAAATTCGCTATTGACAGATGCGGATTTTTTCTATTTAACTGTTAAATTAAATAAAAAATTCAATTATCCAGGATTTTAAATTATCCATGGAGCGATTTTCAATCTTTACCCCGCATAATGAAGATTCCACAATATTGCCTCAGTGAAATAGTGGGAAGAAATAGAAAAGAACTATATCATATAAAATATAAGTGGCTGGGTATCAGAGGTAGATGACTGCCTATCATAGATTAATACCCCTCAGGATATTTCAATTAAATTTAATTTTATCATTGAGAACTAATTTATTCATTTTTTGCTTTTATTGTTCACAAAAAGTCAGTACTACCTTTTATTTGTAGTGTGAGGTTCAATACATTTAATATTGAAGTCACAAAATAAAATTAACAAAAAAATATAGTGTGAAATTAAGTGTTGATTCTTACTGACTTTGTTTCTGCCACTCGAATTACCAAAATCTGTCCATGGTTTCCTGAAAAATGTTCAATAAATGTGAATGAAAAAAGAATTACTAAGAGAATAAGAAAAAATACAGATCTTACTATATTAAAAAGAGATCATATGAAAGATTTGACTAATAGGAATAATTCCATTTGTTTTTTAATGAAATTATGGTTACCAAGCCTGTTATCTGACAAAGTTAAATGAGGAAGGAAAGTATTTTATATTACAACATAAAAACTACTTTTTCAAATACAGATAAATCCAAGTCCAGGTCCTAGATACGGTACAGAAACCAGCACACCATTTGAAACAGTAAAAAATTACTGAATATTGAAACTTGTATATATACCATACGTATATATATATATATATATATATATATATATATATATATATATATATATATATATATATATATATATATATATAAAACATAAAACCTAATGATCAATGTATAAGAACAAATAAAAAAAAAAAATCAAACTTACTGAATAATTTAGTCCAACTTAAAATAAAACTTTAAAGATTTCCTAAACATAATTCTCATAAATATATGTGTGTGTTAATAATAAATGTGACAAATGTGCATTTAAAACCCAGTTATTTCCCAAATTTCTGCCTTACCATAAGGAAAATGTTCCAAATTTTTCAAGCCAAATTTTAGAAGTTACTTGTAAGATGATGGGAGGCAGAATGCCAAGGTTATGACTTGTAAAGAATGAGTGATTCTACTTTACTCTAACAACAATAAATTGTTGAGAGTTTAGTCAATTAGTACTAGAAATAAATAAATAAAATAATATCAAGTGATATGGTGGGAATGAGGAAACCCTACATGATAGGATCTAAAAACTCTTCGGTCAGATCATTAAGACACCACCCTGCTACAATTTTTATATCTTTCCAATTACGGCCTAACATTTAATTTGTCTATTTTTATTTTGTTTTTCTTGTTTTTATTATAAGTAATAATAAAATATATAATGTTAAATTTATATGTGAAACTTTTAACACTCACTTTTGAACAGTGGGTTGTTTATCAGATGATACTGTGTTTTTTTCATCATCGTCTTCAGAAATGGACAGCTCAGAAGATGAGGAATGCCCCCTCCTCCCATAGTACCTAAAATATAGAAACATATCAATTTTACATCTCACTAAATAACTAAAACCCAATAAGTTTTCAATGCCTGATATGTTTTATTATTACTAATTTTTTTAAATATCTATAACATTATATGCATGTTTTATGGATCACCATTGTTAAAAATGAGATAATTGAACAACTAATCCAACATGAACAAAACCAAACAATACCTGGATATTATAGGAGCAGGAGGTTGCTTAACTGGCACAGCAGGATTAAAGACAGGTTGTGATTTGCTGTCAACTTTGTTTGAAACTCTAAAATAAATTAAACAATTAAAATCTGAAGGAAGTAAAACTTTATCATTATATGTAAGTTGTTAAAATATTGTATTTACCTCAATGGAGATTTACTTTTGGATCTGGTTGATTTCTGATCTCTGAAAAAGGAAATAAATATATCTTCCTTCAATCAAGAATCATAAATAATAATTTTAAATAATTTATTATTATTTTTTAAATCCAGTTATTTGATCAGGATACAATTGCAGTAAATGAGCATCCATAATTTTATTTTAATTTAACCAATTAGTCCAGTTTAATAAACTAATTAATAAAAATATCGAGCCTGGATTTAAAAACCAGACAGGCTTGGAATGGTAACAATCCATAAAAAAACAAAGTTATATAATTTGAATAATAATAAATTAAAAAATTGTAATAGAATAAAGTTAACTTAAAATCAGCAAGAAAAACAGTGATTCTTTCTGATCAATGTGATTAAAATAACTAGAAAACTGTAAAAAAATTATGTAACAATTTTTTGAAACTTTAAAAGTCTATTTACTTTTAGCGAATTGTAATTAAGTTTAGAAAAACATGATTTCTTCTGTGAAAGCTGTAATGAGTTTTGTGTTCTTTAACACTTAACTATACTTGCTTGAGCTTTGTCAACTAGGAAAAACTGACAATTAGCTAAAAAAAAAAATGTGTTTTTTTGCAAATTTGCAAAACTGCTCATTTCGAAAACTTGATAGTTCATTTCATATTGAGTTAGAAAAAAAAATTGTCCTTCAAAAATATTAGTGAAAGTTTTTGTAGTGCACTGTAGCAGAGTAAAATTCTTTTTTTATGAAAGGTCTACTTTTCACATTACTACTAGTGTAAGTAAAATAAAAACACATAATTGATCCATTGCTCCAGTAGCATGTAGATGCAAGGCCCTCATAAGTGAATCTAAAAAGTAGCAAGGAATCATTGATAAAACTTTAAGAGTTTACACTAAAAAAAATAAAATTAAAGATCCAGATATCACAAACATCATGATTATAGATTCCGAAAAAACGACAGCTGATGAGTTAATATTTGTTTCAGAGAATCTGTACAGCAAAAAAGCCTGTCGAAGAGTTGAAGCAGCACTTTACAAATGAGATTGGTCCTTAACTTTTGTATTTGAATTACGGAAAGGAACTGAATCATTACTTAACAAACTGTCCAAGCCTGTTGAAATTCAGCTATCATTTCTTCGAAATGTTTTCAGTAAATGAGATCAGTAATCTAAAAGAGAACATTTTCATAAAACTTTACAGCATTGGAACAAACATCTGTCACGTCATTGGAACAATGATTCCATCAGACACTATTTATTTGTTATGATAGCAGACATATGATGTATGAGTTCTTAGCAATGAGGGTGTTGAGGGGTTTTGCATTTCCAAGGCCAAGTGGAGTTGAGCTGATATCATAACCCGTAAAAATATCAATAAATAGTAAATAAACTCATATCACACTTATATAATTAGGAGATTGAAAAGTAAACGTAATATTTCGAACTCCTTGTTAGTTGGAGGTTTATTACTTTCACTTACCTATATATGTAATATATAGTAAGGGTAATGCTTTGTATTGAACATAGCCTAATATTGATTAGTAATATTTAAAAATAATTTCTAACACCTGGGCGGGTAACTGAGACCCACGACCCAACCTTTTTGTAAGTGGTAATGGAAACCCTTGAGAACCCCAAGAGATCGACAACAGTCTTACGGCTGAGTGTTTAAACAGAATACAAATTACCATTAACACCTTCCATCAGAAATACTTAAAATATACCTGGTTGGTGGAATACCTTGGCCTGGGGGAGAGGGCGTGGTCATCCCTTAGGCTAGGAATAATCAGCCAATCAGAAAAGACTAACAAAAGAGAGGGGGATGAAGAAAGGTGGAAAATATAGGACTAGGACTAAGACACTTCTTTTTGGGATTCAGCTGAGGAGACTTCAAGCTGGGAAGGAAGCGAGGACAGCTGGATGAGGAGAGGCTGATAGAGAAGAAGTCTTATGGCTTATGGCCGGACACCACTGCCCGGCATAGAGGGGAGACCTGATATGGAGAGTCGGCTTGGAATCTGATGTTTTCTTCTGGCTGGAGGACTGTTTTCTCCTGAACCCCTACCGGAACAATGATGATCTCAACTTCGCACTTCGCATAACATATAGATAAGTAATTCCCAACAATTTCTTTAAAGATGTGTAAATATTTAATGGCAATATAAATTTTAAATTCCATCCATCTGAATCATGCCATCACAACCAATTGTTTAGTTCATTAATTTTTGTAAATATAATGTATATAACAGTCTTTATTATATAATTTGTACATAAAATTTATTTTAATCATGCCACCTATTGATATCATTATAAGCACAGGTAATGTTTGGTAATTAGAGAACAGATAAACACACAACAAGCCTTTGTGAGAAGTAATCCAATAAATTAATCAAGGACCAATATGTCAAATGACATAATTTGTTTAACTAATATTTTATTAATTAATTCTGGATAATTATCCTCAATAATTATCCAGTGGCATCCCGTATAAAAAATTCTATAAAAACCGAATTGATACGTAGCAGTAAGTTTTGCGATCGTGAAAATTTTTTAATCTCAGTTTTCAACAGAAATACATATTTTGAGGTCCCCTTAGTCCAAATAACCAAGTGTCGCAAAATGGTCTGTGTGTGTGTGTTAACAGTCTAGCTCATAAACGAAAAGTAGTACGAAACTGATATTATGTATTTAAGGTTTGTATATGAGCCGGATGTGACAGTAACTTTTTTGTTAAAATCGTCTAACGGGAAGTGCCACTTTACATGAACGCTGAAACAGATTTTTACAATTTTCTAAAAAACGGCTCTAACGATTTTTATTAAACTCGGTGTATCATAGTATAATTAAGTGGTATTTAATATCATTTAGGTCTTATCCCAGTTGATGTCACTTTACAGGGCTTAAATGCCCATTGTTCATATATGTCTTCCTCTAAAGTACCTTTAATATGATGTAGAGATGGTTGACCGTTGATATGATATGAGAAGGAGTTAGTCGAGGGTGCGGTCAAATAAATAAAAAAATTTAAATATATAAATAATTTTAATTGTAATTCCTGAAGACGACCTGCAAAGTGGGTCGAAACGTCGGCAAAAATTAAAATTATTTATATATTTTAATTTTTTTATTTATTTGACCGCACCCTCGACTAACTCCTTCTCATACCTTTAATATGGTTTATTTTAAAAAGTTAATCATTTCGCATTATTCAGAGTTACGAAAAAATGCTACATATAACTTTTGAAAGAATTTGATGAGTTAATAAAGGAGAAAAAAAAACGCAGAAAAACCTGCGTTGCTATAGACTGTAGCGCCTAAACTAATGTACCGATTTCAATTAAACTTCGCTAGTCATTTTCTCTACACCCTTTAAATTTATCTATATAACATACTTCAACGGAAAGAAGCTGGAAAAAAAGTTACGAGGGATGGTAAAATTAAATTCCGAATAACTCAAAAAGTATACACTTTTTTGTGGATATATGGTTTTTTCAAAGTTTATGGAATTTTCTAAAAAAGCAAAAAAAAATGCATTAAAATCGGACAATTAGGAGGAAAGATGTGGTATCTAGTTTTTTCCTCTGAAGAGGCGAAAATTTGTATAAATTTAAAATATACTTTTTTAATTGTTGAGATTAAAAACACTTTTTTTCTACAGATATTTAATAAAGTATCTTACCTCAGAACATCTTTCATAAGAAATAAGTATCTAAATTTATACCTTTATTCTCAGTTCTTTATTTCAACACTACAATCACCACCTCCGGAATCAACTTACTCTCTGCATAGATAACATTTTCAACTAAAAATGTTACTAAATTGACATTACTCAAAAATGTTGAAATTGGAGTTAGTTATTCTGTGGTTTATAAAAGCAAAGAAAGTTGTGTGGTTTATAAAAGCAGGTGGAGTGACTAGATTTTTATTGCCTGTCGTCGATATATTAAATAGACATTTTGTAATTATAAAGGTCTTAATTACTTGTTATCTGTAAGCTTCAAGCTTTAGCTCTGTTTAAAATGCACTTAAAATTTTATATAGCCCAGCATTGCCAGAAAATAATTTCTATTCAAAGTAGAGCGGTAAGTGAAAGTTGTGTGTTGCGCGCACCAGATTTTTTTTTGCTGTGAATGGAATAAACCAGACAGGAGTACAAGCTTACCAATTTATGGCAAGGATACAATGAAAGTGCCTTATTTTGATTTAGATGTAGTGACTATAGGCACAGCTATGTCTTCTACTGATATCAATACTATAATAGCCATGAACATATTTTTGAAATTCTTTTAAACATTTCTAAAACATCTCTGTGAAGATATATACCTGGCAACCTGATAACCGAAGTTAGATGGAAAACTATTACGAGTTCAAATCCTGGCACCCGGTGGGAATTTTAACTTGGCATAATTTCCCGCAGACCGGGAAAAACTCTGTTTAGCCTAAAAGGTAAGGAAGGAGAGAACAAAATAAAACAAAAAATCTCTTATTACCATCATTCTTAATGTACATAACCTAATGCTATGCACTGCATATTTATATCACAGAATCAGTTATAGGAAAAAGATTATCTAGAACAAACCATAGCTTCAGTTTAAGTTTGTCGGAATAAATCGTCAGGGTACTTGTGATATCTGGAATTGTTCTTTTATTTTATTATTTTGATTTAAGTGTATAATATTGAAGTTTTATCAATTATCAATAATTTCTCGCTTTTGTCGATAATTAACAATCCAATTTTTTTCAGCCAATGAATTAACTTCTTATTGACATTAGAGTCACTTATGGTAAATGGATCATTTTAAGTCAGGCAGTTTTAAAATTTATATGACACTTTGCTAACTTTGTTTTAGTACTTATTTTTTATTGAAAATATCATAACAACGAACACATAATGTAAACATTAAATCACCTTTGACTGGAAGATTTGCTGTAAGACCTGGAGACTGATCTAGATCTCCTAGAGCTGCGATATCTAGATCTTGAAGAATTAGATTGACTCCGGCTCCTTGATCTAGAACGTCTTCTGTGACTTTTCTCTCTGCTTTTTGATCTGCTCTTAGAACGATACCTGAAAGGCAAACAAAAACTGAGATATCTAAATTATTTTTTCTTTTCTTCATAAGCAGGTGTTCATATCATTCATTAATAATTAAAATGAATAATATGAAGACTGTCTATAAATTTTCAGAACAGATAAAAAGAAAGAGCTTTTTCTTTTGAATTTACTTTTTCAGTCTCCTTCTAATGATTATTTTTCTAGATCTCTATTGCTACATGAAGTCTATGTCATCCAGCGAATCTCCCATCTCCCATCCGAATCATCTTTCTCTACAAAATAGTTATTTAAAAAAAGGGTGGACTCTTTATTCGATGAAAAATCATAGCTAAAAGAAGAACAAGTATCTCCTAAAACTCGTATCTCCATCTAGAGGTCCAAAACTTTTCTGACATATCTCACATAATCATTTAGTAAATCTACCAGTGAAAAGGAGCATTGATTGGTAAAATATTACAATATGTACATATCCAGTGGGATCATGAATCTATGACTTCTACAGTTTTACTCTGTCAAAAATACCATCTAAAATTATATTTTTAATATTTTGGCTTGTTTTACATTTTATTAATCATAAGCAGTAATTTATAAGTTGATTTTTTGACAGAAAATTTCTGTTTGGTGCATGCACACTGATTTTTTCTCCAAAGTAGGTTGCCTATAAGTATATCACGTTATTTAATCTGTATAAGTGTGCATGCATGTGTTTTGTATAATACAAATTTTAAAAAAATATATAAACATTTGATGATCTTTAAGATTTCGATGAATTTTAATTAGTTAGTAAAAATATTCTTTATTCATTTAGATAAATTTTGGGCAGGGGGCTAACAGACTCTATCATTCTGAAGGATATGATGTCCAATAAACAACATAATTATACATAATACATATAAATGTATGTTTATAATTAAATGAAATGTATATGTCATCTGATGATTTAATTAATAATTTTTAAAAATAATTCATATCAAACTGTTCATATCATTTCTTACTGAAAGACCCTAAATCTCTATTGTGGTCAAAGGCTAGTTGAAAATAAATGAGTTGTGCTACATAAATCTTGAAACAGATTATACAAAAAAAAAGTAACTGGAACAGGATTGTACCAGTCGTAGATTAGGAACTTTTTTTTACGTTTATCCTTTCCTCGCCTTTGAGGCTACAAGGGGTTTTTCCGGAGCAGAGTGGAAGATTAATGGCAGAGTTAAAAACCGCCTTAGCACTGATGCGAACTCATAGTTATTTTATCATTTATAACTTCGGTTAGGGGTGATTATAACAAAGCCCATTTGGCCACCCCGTCCATGTCGATTAGGAACTGACTGTACAGTCTGAAGGCCAAGCAGCAACTGAACTGTATTTATCAGAGGCCGGAAATCAACTGACACTGTATAATATGTGGAAAATTCAAATTTAAAATTAAGCATGAATAAAATCATAATTATATATATATTTATTTATTATACATACATTTAAATAAAAATATATTGTTTATATCCTCAGTTATTATTTGTTCCTTATCAATGAATAATTGAGAAAATTATCTGAACAATTTCAAAATCCTAGGTAGGTAATGATTAGTCTGGATTATCAATGCTCTACTACATTGTAATCATACCACATGAGGAAACAGTGTTAAATGACTAATATATATGGGAGCGGGGTAGCTAAGTGGTAGGGCACTGAGCTTCCAATGCAAAGGTCCCGAGTTCGAACCCCGGCTCATGGCAGAAAATTTATTTATCTGTTTCATTGGCCGTGGGGCGACCTTGGGTCAGAAGTCCCTCCTGAGGCACACCCAGCCTCTATAAAGTGGGTACCCTTAATTAAATAATTGGTTAAGGGAGAAAACCTGGCGGTTGAGCGTGATCTCGGTCAAATCACCTCCTTGCACAACCGTTGACCTAGAAACAGTGCTTTCCCTAAATAGTACTGAATCCCAGACCCTTCATGGGTTGGAGTGGTACAGGTTTATATATATATATATATATATATATATATATATATATATAAATAATAATATGTTTTATAAAATTACCTTACAAAAAAATGCATAAAGGTATAGAGATATGTGATATAAATACAATAAATATTGCGAAATTAAAAATAGAAACAAAAAATACAGACAAACAACTTAAAGAACATATTAGTGCACATAGGCCTAACAATAATTTTAAGTTTTTGTGAAATTGAAATTATAATCGACTTATGAATCAGTGTATCAGATAGAAATAATGTAAAAAATCAAATTTAAAAAAAAATCACGATAGTATAATTAACAATGAATTGCTAATGATATATGAAGTAATTTAGAGGGAGAAGATTTTTTGCATCCTAGAGCATAACCTTCCCCCACAAGGTGTGCCTACACCAAAAAATAACTTTCCAATAATGACAGAATTCTACTGATCAGATTAATGTTAATTTATTTTAAAGAGTAGACATTTTTTAGTCATAATGAAATTCATCATTAGTAGAATGTAAAAACTTCAGTGATTCATTAAGCAGTATAAAAACAAATCTACAGAGTTTTAATTCACATGTTCAAGACAAATTTCTATAAAATATAGAGACAAATGATCTAATAATCAATTGGTAATACCTATGTCGTCTGTTGTCAGGTGTCCTTGATCTATACTTCACTGAGCGATGGTCATCACTTGAACTAAACAAAAAATAAGTATTCATGAACTAAGAGGATATATAAAAAAATATAAAAGTTGTGCTTAATAATGAAATGATTTATTAAATAAGCACAAACTATGATGAATGCATAGCTAAATATCAAAAGCAGTTATTTTTCAAATTAGAAGATTTTCATATTTTTAGATTATCAAAAAATAAACAAGAAATTTATTATAATGTATCAAAAATAAATTATTACTAAAATGCAGATTACTTCTAACAACAATTCTTCAATAAAACCTAAATAGTATAGTCATTTGGGGATGGAAAGTATTCGATCCAGGATAAAATTGCGAAAGAATTTTTCTCGACGACTCTTATAAGTTTTTTAGGATACTGAATCTGATAGTCAAGTTATCAACTAGAATCGGATATTGTTTCACCATAAAAATGGCAAAAAAACATAAAATTTCAGAAGTTGTTTCAATTATTTGCTTATAACTCCGATACGATGCATCTTAGAGAAAAATTACCAGTAACAAAAAGAAACCGTATAAAATTTCCTGAAAAATAAAACTAAAGACTGACGATGTCAAAATCATCAAATTATACCTGTCGAATGGTAGCTGGATGGAGAAAAATTCAAATAGTCGGTTTCTCTTCGACTTATTTTTTGGGATGCTGAATCAGAATTTGATGTTCCCGAACGAAATTTTACATTGCGTTCCAAGAGCAAATAACAGTGAAATTCCAGAAAGTTTTTGGACATGACTCCGAAACTATACCTTTCATCTAAATTAATACTTATACCAAGTTAAAGAAGATAACATTTTCTATCAATTGCTTTTTAATGTAGAGCCAACAGGTGAGGAGTTAGAGCACAAGAAATAATTTCATCAGTTTTCCTCCACTCATCATCTATGGATCTCTCGAAGAAATTCATTATAATAAATTTGAAAGAGCATTCAATTTCCTATGTACCTCATGTATACATGTTGATAGGCGAGATGGTTAAACGGCTGTTAAAGCACACGGAATTAAAGACGTATTTCACTCGTAGTATCTGCCACATACAACGTGAGCGCTTTTTATCTTTTCAATGCTTTTGATTCAGATAATTCAACTATGTTTATAATTAAGCTTTGAACAAATTACAATGCTTTTATATATTCTGTTAGTATAACAGACATCAATATTCATAATAATAAAAAAATTAAAGATTGAAATGCACTTCAAAGTCCGAGCGATCTAATGTCTTTTTCTATTTTTTTCATATATCCCGAGCTCCATAAGACTTTTGATGTACTTTAAATCTAATTCAAGCTTATGTCCAGTCTAAACATGCGAATAGGTGAAATATCGTTGGACCACTAGAACTTTGAAGCGCATTTAGGTCCTTAATTTTTTTTATTATTGTCATGGATTTTGATGTCTCTCAGGTCAACAGAATATATAAAAGCTATGTGATTGAAAAGATAAGAAGCGCTCAAGTAGAGTGTGGCAGATACTATGAGTGAAATACACCTCAAGTTCTCTCAATTTTGGTCAGTCTATGCATAATTATTTCCTGTTATCCTTTAAAATTCCAGAAAATCATTTGATTTTTTCTATTCCCCTGTTTTTTTTTTTTTTTAAGTCTGCTTGAAAATCGAAGAAGCCACACAGGAGTCAAGTATAATCTTTTAAGTTTATTTACATAAAAATCCCAACATTATAGTGGTTAAACATTTAAATAAAAATATATTGTTTATATCCTCAGTTATTATTTGTTCCTTATCAATGAATAATTGAGAAAATTATCTGAACAATTTCAAAATCCTAGGTAGGTAATGATTAGTCTGGATTATCAATGCTCTACTACATTGTAATCATACCACATGAGGAAACAGTGTTAAATGACTAACCACAGATGTTACTGAGGAGTAAGAATGTACAGATTTGGCGGAGCACACTGTCGAAAACCATTTTCCCAATATCACATGTAATTAAAAAAATAACAAATCTGGAAAAATCTTGTGAAAAATGAAAAAAATAGTCTGTGAAACGATTATTAAGCTATAGAAAATATAAGAATTTTAATTGAAAATAAATTAACGGAAAGGAAAATTAATGGATCAAAGAGGTAAAATTATTAAAATGAATATTATGTGTAACAGGTTCACTTTTTTTCTATCTGGTGTAGGAATCTAGAACAGGCAATAACAGGTGGGTTGTATTATTGATGAAAGATTGGAGAAAGAAATGAAAATCAAGGACAATGCCAAAATGCTTAATATTATTAATACATCTAACATCATTTAATAAAATTATGAATTTCAAGTTTAAGACAAATAGTTCGATAAATAACAAAATCACCTCTTGTATGGTTTATGCTGAATAATTTTAGGACTAGTAGCAGCAACCGGTTCTTCACCACTAAAACTGGTAATGTAAGTTATCTTTCCAGAATTCACAGGTGATGCACTTTTTGATCTTGATCTTGAAAGATCGCAGTAATCTCTGTAAGTAGGGCTTTTTCTTGATGCATAACTGTAAAACAATGTTAATTATATCATGTAAGATTTTAATTTTATTTGAAAAGAAGACAAACTACAATTTAAAAAAATTTGAAACATTTTTTACTTTTATTTTCCCTAACTTAATTGACAATTGCACTGTATTGAAGGTCATCGGAGTGGGGTGAGGATACATTTACATATCTATTAAGTTGCTAATTTTAGGTTAATTCTGTACTAGCACCGTGAAGAGGAATAAAAGTTGCTTATATAGTATAATTTTTTTAATACAAAATAAATCTAGGAGTAGATAGGCTATAAATTGAAATTTTCCATGCAGGGCGGGAAGCTTGGATAAAGAATTGAAAATGAAGAATGCTGTCAAAATGCTTAATAATATTATCACATCAAACATCATTTAATAAAGTTAATAATTTCAAGTTTAAGAGAAATAGATCTCTCCTCTCTTAAGAGAAATAGATACTCCTGGACCAAAGGAGATGGTGGGAGATTAATGTCTGAGTTAAAAGCCAGCCAGCATTGGGATTTGAACTCATAATTTTAAGTTTATCAGGTTGCCGTGCAACACCTATTTTGCACACACGTTTTAATTTGCAGATGTTCTTTATTGACTGAACCTCAAGATACTGAGAAAATATATACATATATTTCTCCCTTCCATCCACTACATGTTAACACACTACATTCCAGCAGTCCCCTTGGTAAACGTTATTCCCCTCTTCTCACCACACCATTTCCATGGCGATTAAAGTTAACCACAGTTCAAGGTTTCCTTAAAATCAATTAGGGGGTTGAAAGTCTGTATCTAAATGAAATGTTGTTAAAAAAACTTTTAAGAATCCCAAATTTCTTATTCCACCACCATTTCGATAAATTCAATTCGATTAATCAATTTTCAGCTATTTTCCAAACAAAAATTAGGGAATATACAACATTTTGTGATAAAGCTCTGCTTTTTTTAATTCAATACAATGAATAAATAAAAATTACAGTATATAAACAATATAAAATAAGTAACTGTATACAAAAAAATAATATATTCATACCTTGGTGGACTTATTTTCCTTCCAGCTAACTTTTTATCTCTATAAGCTCTTCGTTCCCTTCTTGACTTTCGACCCTTAAAAACAAAATCATTCATAAATACCATTTCAATAATTATAATTATGAAAAACCAAAATGAAAGTAAAAATACACTAGCACTACCCACTGAGTACATGGCCTTTTCTTCTTCAAGTTCTTTTGCGATTCTCAAATTATCAGCTTCTTCTTTATCCTTTGTAAGGAAACTAAAGAAATCATTTCCATCCATTCCATAAATATGGCCACAGTTATTCAATTCATGTGCTTGTTGGGTAGATACCTTATTCACATCAACACACATATCTAAAACATAAAAAAATAAATAAAAAATTGAACAATAGAACAATACATAAAAAAAAGAAAAAAAAACTGAAAATTAACAAAGGAAATTAAAAATATTAGTACCAAACAAATAGTTCATTACAATCTTAATACTAAACAAGAAAACATTATAACAAATGCTTTAGCATATAACTTATTGCGTATTTACATAACAAGAACCTCATTTTCATTAAAGGGAAGATATGTGATAATTAGAAAGCTGGCGATACACCGCAGAATCCTGAGATTTCTCAAACTTTGCAAACATGGTTCCTGCAAATAAGTTCAGTATTTTCTCTGCTCTCCTGTGCTTACAAAGTTGTACCAAATGTACTCTTCCAGAGGCTTCTATCGTTTGCAGAGCGAGAGATTAGCAAATACCAGTGTGGATTCAGAAGAGGAAGATCGACAACTGATCAGATATTCACCCTTAAAATGCTGCTGGAGAAAACTATGGAGTATAAAGTTAAAACCCATCATATCTTTATAGATTTTAGAGCTGCTTATGATAGCATCGATAGAGACCAGTTATACAGGGCTATGATTGACATGAACATATCTCTGGTCAACATACAAACTGGTCCGCCTCATCAGGATGACCATAATGGGCGTAGAGTGGGTTGTTCGAGTACAGGGAGACAAATCACAGAGGTTCATGACAACAAAAGGACTCCTACTATTTAACCTGGCACTCAAAAAAGCGGTGAGGGATTCTGGCATCCAAAATACTGGTACGATATTGAATAGGACCGTACAGCTACTTGCATATGCCGATGATATCGACATAATGGCCAAATCAATGAATGCTATGAAAGAAGCATTTGTCCTACTAGAAGCAGCAGCTAGAGAGTTAGGATTGGTCGCTAACAAACCAAAAACCAAGTATATGTGTATTGGAGTTAGTGCTACCGCCCAAGAACAGCACCTGAAGATCGCACACTTTAAGTTCCAGAGAGTTAATGAGTTTACATATCTGAAATCTCTAGTAAATAGAGAAAACAAAGGAAACCTAGAGATCAAGAGAAGGATAGTAGCGGCAAACAAGTGCTATTTTATTTCTGCCTAAATAATTTTTTAATTCATCCAAATTTCACATTTTTTAGTAATTATTTATTGTAAATTTTCTCCCGTTTTATATATATATATATATATATATATATATATATATATATATATATATATATATATATATATATATATATATATATATATATAAATTTAAATGAAAATAATAAAAATTTTTTTATTTGGGTTCCTTAATATTGTTACAAAGCATGAAACAAAAGATCTAAAAAGTGAAGTACATGCAAAACTGAAGTTGAGTCCATCTAAAATAACCTTGCCGGGTTGTAGAGGGGAATAGAGGTGCGCAGTGGCAAAGCATGTTCCCGCCGATATCTCACTCTTTTGTCTTCACTCATTCATACATATTTCTATTTTGTTTTACAAATTGAAATTTATTTCACCTTTTTTTTATTTCTTTTACAAAAGCAGAATTTAAAAGAAAATCAAATATCGAAAAATACATTCCTAGTATGAGCTAATTGCTATGGTGAGGAGGGGAGGTGGAGCTAGAGAGGGGAAAGGCTGCAAGAGCTCCCTTCTCCTACAGTTAAACTTATCTTGGATGCACTATACCTATTCTATTGTAAAAATCTTTCCAACAATAACAACAGAGTACAGGAGATCAAGCGAATCAAAATTTAGATAAATTAACTAATTCCTAAAAAATGGAAAAGAAGTTTTCACAATTTAAGGACAGGTCGTTCATTTCTGTGTTGACTCACAATTGGAACATTGTGGATTTTCACATGGTTACCTCCTCAGAGTTCTTGAGGCACAAACCTGTAAATATAGCTATGTAACCAAAACTGTTAGGTAGATCCTGGTATAACATCCAAAATTTCCAATCAATCGCATAAACATAAATATGAAAGCCAATCCTGAAGAGATACTTTAAGACACTGAAAATGCTGAACTAAAGCTGACAGTTTTGGAAAAATATATTTTACACAAAATATAATTCAATGCGATTTTGCCAACGATCCTCAGGAATAGTGGGAACAGCCAAATAAATAAAATAATTATATCTAATTTTACTGTGATGTTGAAGGCAAAATGATTATGTCTAGATCTTCTCGAAAATATGACAATAATCTGCCTAAAAAAATATATCTGATTCTTCAGGAACGTTCCACTTTTAATTTATAAACATATTTATGTAGAGATGGTTGACCGTTGATATAATATGAGGAGGACCACTCACCCCCCCCTTCCCCTCCCTGATCAACTCCTTCTCATATAAACATATTTATTTTATGTAATATTTCTTTCAACATTTTGTTTTATCAGAATATACAGTTAAATATTGGAATATACTAAAATTAATTCACATACGAATTTTTAAATAAATTGTAGTGATTTTACCAAGGTTGACTGAACATTAATTATCTGAATGAAACACTTATTTTTTAAGAACAATAATAATTTATAAAATTTAAATAATCGTAATTTTTATAACAATAAATTAGTAATACAATGATTTTTGATTAAAGAAGTAATAAAAATAACAATTGTAATAAAAATGTAGGTAGCAATGAAAAAGATTCTATAACCTAAGAAAAATTCAAGGCATCAAAGTGTATGGGACTGTCTTGATATAATCCATGACTATATAAAGGAAGAGGCTTCATAGAGCAAAAAGGTTAGTTGTGAACTCCTATCAAATAATTAGTCCATGGTTAGTTATTAGTACTATCACAGTATAAAAACTACATAGCAAATAACATAGACTCATTTTGTCAACAAGAGTCGTTGAAAAACTATGAATTAATTTTATGTATATAGGGAAGGGGTTTTTTAGCAACAATCAGACTAAAGAAATAGGTATATTTATTTTCTTTCTTTTTCCCGCGCCTTTATCCTAAAGAGTCATTGGCATTTAGCTATAATCAAATAATATAGATTTAGTTGTAGTATTTTGTAATCCACAAGTTAAATACAGTAGTCAAAATGCGTGAATACAGATGGTCAAGATGTTAAGTGGCAATCTTGCTAAAAATATAGTCGGTTAATACCAATAATTATAAAATACATCCTAATTTAACCTATAACGTATCCCATTTTATTACAAATTTTTTAAAAGTATTATCCAAATAATTGAAATTTTAATTTCTTATTAAGTATATGTTCTTTTTACCTAGTCACTGTTTACATAACCAACTTATTTGCTGTGGTAAGTAGGGAGAAGGTAGTAAATGACCAGAAATGAAATGTTACCGATACAAATTTATAAATGTTTAAAAAATTGACCAAAACGTTTCTTATTATTGATTTTAAGAAAGTTGGAAAGATTGGCAGGCTGTGTGTAACATCCTTGCTATTATATGTATAAAAAAGTTATGGGAAGAAAGAGATTCAGCGTTTCCTTTTTTTTAATAACAGAAATAAAACATGCTTTTTCCTATCGTATGAGCAATCTTTACCATGGCATTGTAAATATACCGAAAATTCCTTAGTTTTTAGGTCACTGAAAATTTTCCTAAAGGAATTTTTCTTTCTAAAAAATCATTTTTTTTTAAAATATATTATTATTTAATAAATATTGTTTATTGAAAAATTAATAAATTAACATTTCAATGAATAATAAATAAATAACTTCTATTTAAAAGATTGGAATAAAAATAATTATTTATTCATTGTTTGAATAAAAATAAAAATCCCAATTGTGATAATCTCAAATATACCAGTAATGCATTTCTGTTTACATTAGAAATAAAAAAATAATGCAATACTTAATTAAAAAGTTTGAGAGATACAATTTCTCAAAAGACTCAAACACTAAAATGAGATTTTTTTTTTATGTGAATGAATACATTTATATGAATTTATGAATGAATGTATATGAACATATAGATAGTTTAATGAATTTAAATTAAGCTAAATCCATACCAAAGTCGATGTCACTATCATCTTCTTCCTCATCATCAGCAGCAGTATCCGGATCCGGTTCAGGAGGAGGAGGAGGTACTTGTTGCAGAGGCACTTCCACGGCAGGTTCATCATAGTTATAGCCTATAGCAGCTCCTGCAATTTTCTTCTTACCCTCAATGGGCTGTGGTTCGCTTTTTATGGCTCCAAATTGCTCTTCCAAATAAATCTGATGAAGGAATTTTTCCTCTGATACTAAAAAAAATAAAAAATAAAATTAGCTTATTCTATGTTCTTAATACAACAGAAGGAAAATAAACTAAATAAGTTAAAAATTAAAATGTTAGTCAATTCAAGATAAAAATATTCAAAACATCAACAAATCTTAACAAAATAATCTATACCTAAGCTAAGAAACATACAAGAGCACACATGTTTAGGGGAAACTATTAAAAATAAAGATTCTTTGAAACCATTTAATGCTTAAAATTAAGCCCTTATTGATTTTAAGATTACAAGAAAAAAAAATCATAATAATATTCAATGCAGTTTAAACTGAAAGAGGAATATGAATCAAATAAGTTTCAACATTTTTGAGATAAACTTTCTCTTGGAAAAATAAGTAACCCACTTTTCTTATTTTGCCGACTGCATTGCTTTTGATGTACTCAAATTACTTAGAAAGTTTAAAGGAAACTCAGTCATACCAAAACAGTTGATTAAGTGCTTTCGAGGAATTCCTTTCAGGACACAAAATTCACCATTTCTAGGTACAAAAAGGTAGTAACTATATTTTTTACTGTTTCTGGTATCCCCCATAAAATACAATCCCACCATCCTTCATAAATATCTCAAACTTCTTTCAGCCAATCCTTTGATATTCATTCTGGCATTTCAGATTACTCCACAATAACGTTAATGGACATATCATTTCTTATGTCTCTACCGTATCCCATACCTTCAATAATTTAATATATTTTTATGTTATGACTTGGCAGCCATTTGAAAAAATAATAATAATAAAAGCAATGGTGAGAAAAATAGAAATATTAAAAAAGTTTTGGCAGCCTTTTTAAGATATAATGATAAAACATAAAAACAATTATGATGAAGCAAGTACCAAAAATAGCAATGTAGTGGTTACTATGTGGTATTTTATAGGCATTTACATTTTGTATTTTTTTTTTTTCTGCAGAAAAATAAAGAGGGCATGATATTATCTATACTTATGCTAATTATTTAAAAAATAACATAATTCTTCTATTTCTACATATTTTAAGTATTGGTCACAATACTCATCAAATTTTAATTTTTGTTGATTAACTTCTGAACTCATATCAATAGAATTTCTTAAATCCTTTTGGAACTAAGAATATAAACAAGAACTGAGAATATAAACAAACTTATTGTAAGTAGTGAAGCCATAAGAAAAAAAATGAAAAAAGAAATTTTATACTTAAAGTAATAAACGGTTGAGGAAACACACAAATCACACAGACTAATATTGTTATGTTCTTTTTTATGTGCCAAAAAAATGACCTATTTCCAAGGATACTGGCAACAAAAAGTGATCATGGTACATCAAGATGAACCATGATAAAAAGGTAAACTGAATTTTTTTTTTATTCGATTAAAGTTAGATTGATTTTTGGACTCAAAAGATATAAATTAGTTAAACTTAATCGTAATACGCATGTTAGAAAAAAAAAAAATAAGAAGCAATCATACATAAGCTAAGGGAAACCAATACTGCTAACTAAACTAAAATTTAATATAGTTTATTAAAAGGGTAAACAAAGATAAATAATTGCTGAAGACTACAGTGAATTGATGATATTGACTACTTAGTAAACATTTTCATAGGTAATAAATACTCAGAACATAGTCATTTTAAAGGTTTTTATTGGTGCCAATGTTTCAACCCTTCATTCAACCATTCAATGTTTCACAAGCATGTGGGTCATCATCAGGGCATGTTTCTAGCACTGAAGGTGATCAAGCACTCACAGTGTATTTGAACACCTTCAGTGCTAGAAATGATCCACATGCTTCAGTTGAAACATCGCCACAGATAAAACCTTAAAAATCCTGACTATTTATCACTTATGATATGTAAAACAGTTGACTAACTTCCTTCAATAATTTACTAAACATTTTTTAATAATATGATTAAACAAAACTAAATAGCTGTTTAAAGAACAAAGGAATCATACTATTTAAGATTACTAATGAATTTCTTAATCTACGCATAGTACTGCAATGAGAATCAATAAAGAAAATTAAAAATATCCTAATAAACAAAATCAGCATCAATGTCACTCACTTATTAATTGTAAAAAGCTTCTACAAGGGATTTCACGGGATTATTCCCCCTTAAAAATATGTTTAAGTTAATGACAAGTTGAATGAAAAGAAAAAATATAATAAAAAGTATAAATTTATTAGTAAAATTTAAAATAAATATATATCTTTAACTTTTGTTGGGTCCATGATTAAATAATCTATGAAGGGATATTAGAAATAAGTATTTAATCTTAGTAAGACCATTAAACTGGCACTAGCATGATCACAATCAAATAAGATTAAACTAACACCGATTAATATATCTGTTTTAGGTTTTTAACACTAAAAACAGCCCGTCGATGAATCTTGAGTATGGAACTCGGAATGAGGGGTTCCTTTTGAAGTAATCGGAAACTGTTTATACCTCCGAGGAAGTCATTTTGGACTAGAATTCGATATCGTTCATAATTAATAAGCCTTTCATCATATGAAAGTTTTTCTTCAGATGACCCTCTGTACTCTTGTATATAGTCTAAATGAGCACGTACATCAAATCTGTCAATCATAACATCCTGAGCGCCTTGCCAACTCATCCTGAAAAAAAATAGGTATAATATAAATTTACCAATTTAATAAGTTAAGCACCAAATAAAATTGGTGGAAATGGACAAGATATTTACAATAGATTAGAATGCAAATTAATCAACATTTTAAGTCAATTTAATAAGGACTTAAAAAACTATAACAGCGTAATGAATTATAGTGAACAAGTCAATAACAGAACAGTCAATAAAAATAATCAGAATACTCACATTACTGCAGGGCTATCCCCAGCAGCAGCAACTTGAGGATCAAGATGTATTTTACATGATCGACCATGAATTTGAAGAAATTGTGTTGGATCAGCTTTCTGAAAACAAAAGTTGATTTCTAAACAAAAGATTATTGTTTTAGTAATCATAAAGCAATAATAATAGTGGTGAAGTACTTTTAAAAAAATTTTTTTATCAGTAAATTGAAATGTACCGACAGCATTAGTCAACCAAGGATAGAAATGTAAGGATTGTAACCAATACAATTTATGAGTTAATTTTTAAATTTATATACACTAATTTTAAATTGATAATACCGAATGCTCAATCAAATATATACATGTATAACTACACGCAGACCATAGTTCAGAGACTACTGCTATAAATGATCAAAGATTAATAATGAATTCCAAGTCACAAATAAAACAGAAATTAAAGCTTTGTAATAATTTATTGTAATTAATTTTACAGAAAATGTAGGTGACACAATATCAAATAACATAATTTTTTTTACATGACTAGATGTGAATTTCAACTTAATAAATATAGATTTAAAGCTTATTAAACACAATAGTTTTTACAAAAGTGAGGTATTTGTAGTCAAGTTGAGGGTAATAAAAAAAAAAAATGAATAATCCACATTTTTATGAAAAACAGAACATAGTTAAGCTGCTTAAAAGTTCCCTTCAAATGATTTTAAAAAGAACAAATTCTACTTACATTTGAAGAAAATTTTGCTTAGTTTAAAAATTAAAATTAACAGCAATTGTTAATTACCCAAATTAAATATTTTTTTAGTTATCACTTTTTATTCAGCAAAAAGTGACTTACATAATAAAAACAAACTACTGTTTTGATGATATAAATAACTATATGAACTGAGATTCCATTATATTATAAGCCAAATATCGAAATAAACATAATATTATGTTTCTCACCCCATAATCATTATCCTCAACTGATTAGAATTAATAATCAATATTTAGGTTATATCAAAATAAACATTATTGGCCAACAATAATTATTATTTCCTATAATTTTACAGATTATTAAGCACAGTAATCTTAAATAAGAATAATCATGAAGTTAGGAATTCAATTTAAGACATTGTGATCAAAGTAAAGAAACATATGAAAAGCCAAAATAGCATCTAAGACCAGCTTAATAATGTACCAACATAAAATTAATAAATAAAATGATCACGATTATGGATAATAATAAGAAATTCGATAACTGCTTACAATAATGATTACTAAAATCATTAACATTTTTCCTTAAAATTAATATAATGAATTTTTATTCCACAAACATATTATGGGTGATAAATATTCAGGACGCAGTCTATTAAAAAATTTTTTTAATTTTTATTTGTTCCATTTTAACCCAAACATGTGGCTCATCTTTAGGGCTGAAAGTTTTAATATACAATCAGAGATATAATATTATACGACCGATAATGGTACATAATAAACTATATTGATTGATGGTACATGAATCTCATCTATTATTACAATACACAATATTAAAAATGAAATATGAGAAAAGTTATACAAACTAGAAATAATATATATAATCTATTTATAAAAATTTGTGGTCCGAGCACTGAATGCTTCCAAGTACTGACACATTTGGTAGGTAAGTGAAAAGGTCGGGGGAGGATTTCCCAGTGGTCCTTTTTCAGATAGCAAAAAATAGGTAAACATAGTCAGAGGGAGAGGGGAGGGAGGTAACATTTCTGTTAGTAGAATGCACATTATTTGCTGACTAAATAGATATGTACAATATTTGCGTTGTTTCTTATGGTTACAAAATTAGTGGGTGGGGTGGCCGAATGGACTAACGGGTTGTGCACAGCACCACCATTTCCCGGCAACCTGATATATGATAAGTGTTATAAAAATAGTCACAAGTTCGCGTCCCGGTGCCAAGGCGTCTTTTAAATCCCCGCCCACACCCTCTGGCCCGGAAAAACCCTGTATGTATAGTCTTAATGGCAAGGAAGGGGAGGATCCAAAAAGAAAATGGTTAAAAAATTGTGAATATTGGCTAGAAATTAAAAATTGCATCATCGATACAGCTAGTGAAGTATGTGGTATTAAGAAAATGAGGCCGTCTACCAAGAAAACAAAATGGTGGAACGATGAGGTGAAAAGAGCAGTAAAGCTCAAGAAGGATGCTTGGAAAACATACTGTAGAACGAAACTACCTATCCACTGGGAAGGATATGTTACGTACAGAAAAAAGGCCAAAAGAATAATTAAATCAGCCAAGACGAGGACCTGGGAGCAGTTCAGTCAGGAGCTAGAACAGAATTATAGAGAGAATATAAGGAGATTCTGGCATATTGCAAAAGTTCTGAAAGCCAAAAAGTCAAAACCGATCAAAAATATAAAAGATGCAAATGGCAATTTGGTGACTGAAGAAAAAGAGGTATTGGAAGTTTGGAGGCAGTTCTTCCAGGAAAAATTTAGTATGGAAGAACACCGACACCATAATCACAGAGACTGCAGAAGGAGAGTGATGGTGGAAGAGGTTTACCAGGAAGACTTGGATGACGCAATAGGCGAGGATGAGGTGGAAACGGCAGTGGCCAGAATCAAAATGGGAAAAGCACCAGGACCAGATGAAACAGCTCCAGAATTAATTAAATATGGAGGCAACGAAATGATCAAGAACCTTCAAACTCTTTTCCAAAAGATTTGGGACCTCAAGCTGATACCATGAGAATGGGAGAACAATATCATAATCCCTATTCACAAGAAAGGCAGCCAAAGCGAATGCGGGAACTATAGGCCAATATGCCTCTCGTCAGTTGTGTACAAGATATACACAAGAATTCTTGAACAGCGACTAAGGCATATAGTAGAGCAAGATCTAAAGGAGGAGCAAGCCGCTTTCAGACCCAAGACCACATATTCTCACTACGGAGGATTGTGGAAAAAGCATGGGATCGTGGAAAATCGGTTTATCTAGCATTTTTGGATCTTAGGGCCGCATTCGACTCAGTTCTGAGACAAGAGATATGGGACTCACTAATTAGAAGAAGAATACCTGCAAACTTGGTGCAATTAAATCAATATACCAAGACCTAAAGGGTGTAATAAGGCTCAATGGACACACATCACAACCTTTCCACTTTTATAAAGAAGAAAAGCAAGGGAATAGTCTTAGTCCTCTGCTTATTATCCTTCTCATGGATGAAATTTGGAAAGTGTGTAAAAGAAGAACCCCAAGGGCTGTTGTGGGATATTGGAATTTGACACCAGTGTTGGCTCAAGCTATGCTATATGCCGACGATATAATTCTTATAGCGGACTCACAAGAGGCTCTACAGACATCATTGGTCGAGTGGGAAAAAGAATTGAAGCTGCAAAGGCTGCATATAAACCCGTCCAAGAGCAAGGTTATATGTGTTGGAAAAGATAATGCAGACCCTATGACGTTAAGTAATGGCGAACCCCTAGAGGTAACAAATGCATACACGTATCTGGGGACAATCATCAATGAAGATGGTAAAATAGACCAGGAGGTACTAAATTGGGTGATGAAGGCCAATGGGATATATTACCAGATAGCCAATACAATCGTAGGAAAACGGGAAGTAAGCAGAAAGGCCAAACTCACGATATAAAAGGCGGTGTTCCTCCCAGTACTTCTTTATGGATCTGAAAGCTGAACAACCCTCGATAAGCACATAGGCAAGATCACAGCAGCGGAAATGAGATTTCTCCGAAGAATAGCAGGCAAGACTAGGAGGGACTGTGTTAGAAATGACAGAATCCGTGAGGAATAGGTGACATCAAGCCGTGGCATCCTGGAAGAGAAGCAGTTAAAATGGATCAGGCACATCTTCATTGAATCATTGAAATCATCGGGCAGAATGGACCACACCCGAAAGGCCAAGTGGTTTATGGAAGCTAGACCGGAAAGCAGACGACCTCGTGGCAGGCTTATGATTATATTGGAAAACTGGGCACAGCAAGAGGACGCTCCATACCAGAGATGAGGTGAGAAGGCTACCCAGGGACAAAGCTTAACGGCACAAAGGAGCTAGAGAAAGAAGAAGAAGAATATTGGCTAGTAATGAAATAAACAAGAGGTGCCAATCAATATAAATATAACATAGTTTGATTAAAGATATAAAATGGTTAGCCAAATAATATTTTTAATAAAGACAATTGTAATGGATTGAAAACATATGTATGATAATATATTATACAGTATTTTAAATATAACAATATTAATCATAACAGAAGTATGTATTATATTAAGGATTACATAGTTTTAACAGTATGAGTATAAACATATCTGTCTGTTTATAGTATGTATTTTTATTGAGAATGGGCATTATAGGTATATATGTATATATATATAATAAATGTAGGAGTAATTACCTATGTAAGTTGACAGGAAAATGAAAAACAAAATTTTAATGATCATAGACTATTGTTTTAGGAGGCGGAAAATATTCGAATATGTGTGACAGATCTTTTCTTTGCCTATTTTATGGTTTACCGGGTTATTTTTTTCCAAATTGTTGAATATAGCTTCAGAAAGTAGCCGTTTTTGGAGATAGGGAACTGTGGCAAGTATGGTTGGGTTTTCAAAATCAAATGTGTGGTTGAGGGTTATGGCGTGTTCGGCCAGTTTCGAGGCGAATGGATTTCATATGGAGAGTATTGGGTTGAAACGTTGGCACAAATAAAATTTCTTTTTCAAAAGACTGCTTCCTGAATATTTATCATCTATGATATGTAGAACAGTCGACTAGCTTCCTTCAATAATTCACAAATATTACTTCAGAATATTTTTAAATATTGCTAGAACTATGATTGGTTTATTGAAAGGCACTAAGTATATTTTTGATGCAGCTGAATTATTAAGTGTTTTGATGAATTTGGACCTTAGTTATGGAAACAACAAACAAAATTAATGGGAATAAATGACACCAATCCTTTTATAATCAAATATAGTTGCACTAAGTGAATTGTTATATAAGTTTATAAAATGTTACTTACTGCAATAAACTGACAATACTTCAAATTATCTTTTTCATGTGACTTTTGAATTTACCTTTCAGTTAAATATTTAAAACACATATCTTAAATATATGTTCACATATATAACTAATTTTTTTAATTTGTTTTTATCATTATTTAGATTATTGTATTAATATACTTCTGTATATTTCAGACAAATAAGTTTTAACATAATCTAATGGGATAAGTTAATAGTAATGTAAGAAGTCCATATTTATAATTAAAAGGACTATAGTGAAACAGGATAAATTTCAAACAGAATCCTACGAAGAAACTGAAAAGCTATAGTCTATTGATAACTAACAGATATCAATATACTGTAATGTTTGACAAATCTGAGGTAATTTTACAATGTTTCAATATCGTTATTTTAACTGTTTAATTAACTTACAATTTTTTCATAATAGTCTCTTCTCCTTTCAGCTCTCCTTTTATAATCAACTATCATACAACGTATCTTTCTTTCCTGTTTACGAATTTCGTGCCACATTATACAAATTTTTAGTTCTCTGTTCTAAATAAAAAAATCATACGAGATATTGACGGCTAAAGGCAGACATGGAACAGTACAAACACTGCAAACTGATAAAAACTTATTTAGAACATCTCGTTGAAAAGCTGGAGAACATTTATTAACCTACAGCATTGAGTAGAGTAGGGCTGGGCAATAGTCGATAGTACCATCGATGTATTGATAGGGTAAAACTAACGATAGTCTTAGGGACTATCGTCAGTTCGTATCTTCTCAAAGAGATGAATTATTTTCAAATTTTATACTAAAAGGCATAATCCCCATCCGCAGATGTATTATTACAGTAAGGCTCGAAATCGGTTTTGTACCAAATATAAGCTCCTGTCATGCTAAAATACCATGAATGGGGTACCGTTGGATTCAGAATTTCAGGGGAGATTACCGAATTGTGTTCTTCACTTTTGGTTTTCTTTCTAAAACAGATAAAGTCGATATAAAAATTTTGCTAGGCTTCAATACTGGAACGGTGGTAAATCTGTAGATCAATGTGGTATAAATTGGGCTTTAAAGATTTCGATTCATACAGCAAGACCTGTTTTCAATCTTAAAAACGTACTATGTAGGCGGATGTACGGGGAGGGGGGGGGAGACTTTCGGGCTAAAGCCCCACCCAAAATGGTAAAATATAACCATGTTTTACAGAAAAAAATATTAAAAACTATCTCTTAAAGTATTCTTGTTCCTGTAATTTCATTTAATAGGACTTCAGGAACCACTTAAACACCATTTCATGTAGGTAGTTAATTTCTTTCTTTTTTTTTCAAAGTAATTATCGTTATATGTATATGAAAAAAAAATCTTTTGGTCTGAAGCCCCCTCCAAAATTAAATCCTGGATCCGCTAGTGCATCCACCCATTGAATACACATGTCTCATTTCGTCGACTTGAGGCTTTCCTCATCTAGAGAGGAGAAGTTTATATTATTTATCCATGGTGTTTTTGATGTTCAAGCCATATCATCGTCAATCCTTCACCAAATCTAAAGACTGAGCCACCAATTTTGAAGGCTTCCTTCTCCTTCAGGTGGGCAAAATAGTCCAATCACCCCGAAAATTCTGGCAAACAAGTTATGAGAGAAAAGAAACTTTATTTGCAAATAAGTAAAAAATTACACACTTTTTCCTTGGTTATGCCCATGATTATATAAAATTACTAAAATCACTACGTAAGGAAAAAAACATCATCGAAATCGGACAATTTTTAACAAACCAACAGCTTATTGAAATTTGTAAACATGTTTGTTCCAAACATTAATGAAGTTTTAAATTATTTTTTTTTCCTTTGTCCATTATTTTTATCGATAAAGTAACAATTGAATTCTTAATTTTTTGATAAGTTGCATTATTTTATTTTATTTTTAATTTTGCATTTGATTACTTAACAATATGCTGTGCGAATTTTTCGCAGGAGCCAACTAGTTTTAACAACAGATCTTCATACTTTTATCTATTTATTGATGTGCGAGACATAGTGACAATACATAATGTAAAAGTGAAATGTTTAATTATGGAAAACTGTTCCAAAACCTTATATTAAGAAAATAAATGGAAAGAAGTAAAAAGTCTTGTTCAAAAGTATTCTTATTAATATGTAAAATTGAACGAGAAGCCTTCAAGGTAAAAAAGAATACAATCTCAAATTGTCATGCTAACAATACTTTATCAAATTAAATTTAGAAAATTACTACCTTGGAAATTCAAATCCCTCCTTCAATTTTTACGAAATGATTAAAACAATACCATGGTCGTTGTTGATGTTTGAATTCGTCATTCATGGAAATGAATGTAATTTATTTTTCTCTATAAATGTATTAGTATTATTATGTTTTATTTCATATTTGTTAATTTCATAATGTTAAACATTATTAATAACGAATAATTGTTGAGAATTGATTATCGGGAACTGATCATCAAAGTCCGCATTCTTGATGAGGAGTTAGAATTTGACCAACATTGTTTGGACTTGATAAACAATCCGAAAATGATCTTTTTAAAGAGGTATCATTTTTAAAAATATATATTGATAAGGAAAAGAATAAATCTTGGGCATTAGCAAGTTAACTTCATTTGCTACATCGATTAACTTAATTTCTCACCTTTCAAGAAAAATATATTAGTATAAAAATATATGATAATAATTATTAAAAAAGTTCTAGAAGTCAGCTTCTTAGTTACTTCCGAAGAATTGTTGTTCTGCAGACCTCAATTATGATCATTATGACTAGAAATCCAAGTGCAAACTGAATATGCAAAACTGAGTAATTCACAACTAAAAAGTGCAAAAACGTTTGTTTAATTTGTCATATTAATACATCAACATTTGACCAAGCATTGTGTTAAGCTTCTGAATTAAAATAACTCGTGTCACAAGAAAAAATTAAAATGCAAGATTGAAAATGAAATTCATTTTTAGAATTTTTAGAGAACTTTAGAAATACTATGTAATATGTATTTGCGATTCTCAAATGTTCAAATATTAGTGTTAATACTGTTTTTCTAGATCAAAAATATTTGTTGAGCATATACTCTTTCTAAAAAAAACAAAATATTAAATTCTTTAATGGACGTATTGCCTACAAGATAATGACCAATATTATACTAAAACGGATATATCCGATTTACGAGAATATAATAGGCGTCCACCAAGCTGGATTCAGAAACGGAAGGAGCACTCTAGACCAGATGTTCATCCTCCAACAAGTATTCAAAAAACGATGGGAAGTAGCTCAGTATGTCCATGCTGTATTTGTCGATTTCAAAGCAGCCTGTGATACTGTGGACAGGGGCTGTCTTTATAAAATTATGACTGAACTGGGGATTTCCGGTAAGTTGGTGAGATTGGCAAAGGCTGACCTCAAATGTAGAGTCCTAATACAAAGAGAAGTGTCTGAAGCCTTCAAAGTGCGAACGGGCTAATGCAAGGATATGGACTATCACCAATGTTGTTCAGCTTAGCCCTGGAGAAGGTAATAAGAGCAACATTGCAGGAAAACGGAGGGATCCAAGTCGGAATGAATCATAAAATCCTTGGATACACAGATGATATAGCTGTCCTTGGAAGTAATCAAGAAGGCATTGAGAAACTCACTTCAACACTGATAAGGAAGGCAGTGCAAATGGGCCTACAAGTAAATGAAGACAAAACAATATATATGATAATAAGCCGAAAATTCCACCCCATAACAGGATCTGCGGAGAAGGAAGATCATTCTCGAGAGTAGAAAAATTCAAATACCTGGCTCCTCAATAATCTCATTGAAGGACCAACAGGCAGAAATAGGCCACCCTATAATTAGCCCAAACAGAGCTTTCTTCTCCCTCTCTAAGGTATTGAAATCCCGAAAAATCTTAAACTAAGGGTGTACAATGCTATGATAAAGCCAGTTCTAATATATGGCTGGAACTAACCTGGAAACTAACCAGCACCCTAGAAAGAAGTGTTAAAAGATTTGAGAGGAAAATCCTCCGCACTATAACTGGAGCGATCTGGGATCAGAGCACTAACACATAAAGAAGGAAAGACCAATAGAGAACTGCTCAAAGAAACTGGTCAATCAATATCCGATGATATGAAGGCACGGAGGTTAAAGTGAGTAGGGCATGTAGCTCGTAGCAATCCATCTGGAAGCCTCTACTTAACAATGAATGCCTCAATAGAAGGCAAAAGATCTGGTGGAAGGCCATAGAGCAGATGCATAGATGAAAACAGCAAAGATGCAGCAGAGCTGCGTGCAGTTAAATGGAAAGAAATAGCCCAAATGTCTGTCCACAGAGATGGAGCAGTGTCGTTAATGGCGACAAAAGATCCACATGGTCTGTCATACCAACAGAAAAAAAATTATAAATATTCTTTCATACCTGTTCTACAATGAGGGCCAATCTGTGATATCCTATCTTACTCGATTGATGTTTCATGGGCCGTATACAAGGCAGCTTTCCCATCAAATTTCAACTTTGAGTAATTTTATATCCAGAGATTAATTTTTGACAAGATCCTAGATCTCTTATTCTAGATTGAGGTACTACATTACTAATTTTTTTTTATTAATAATGAAATTCCTACAATTCACTTCAAAGCTTCAAAGGGCTGAAGAATGAGTAAGAATTAAGTCAAAACAATGACAATATATATCTTTCTAATAAAACAGATTATTCTAGGAAGGCAGTTTTTTATTGTTATCCACTACTTTAGAGAAGTTCTAATCCAAGAATATTCTCTATTTGTGTTTATTTCTTCCATTTGAAATATTAAATTTGAATGATTGCCAGTCACAGAATTATTTACCTTTCTTATACTTTTTTCTATTAAGTTACAAATTTAATATGGACAATATATTAAAATATAAAAGTAAATATTTACAGAAATATATATATATATATATATATATATATATATATATATATATATATATAATATATATATATATATATATATATATATATATATATATATATATATATATATATATATTTAGAAACAAAAAATGTGCAATTTAGGCCTAAAGCAGCAAAACATGCAATTTCGTGCTGTCAAATTTTTATATGTTATTCTACAGATCATGAAACGGATAGATATTAAGGTTTCCACATGCAAGCGAATAAAATGTGCAATAATATGGAAATCCCGTCTCTAACTATGACCAGAGACTGGACCTTTTGCTGTAAAAACCCGAAAAACATGCAAAAACCATCTATTTTGTTTATTTTATAATATTAATACATAGAAAATATATCAAATCTTATGTTAAGCTACTAAATTAAAATATTTTGTAAAAAAAAAAAAAAATTAAAATGAAATATTGAAAATTAAAATCCATATTACAAGCAACTAATGACATCAATATATAATACAATACAACAATAAATTATGATTAACCTAAATCTTGAAGGAAAAATAAGGACTAACATAAATAATTGAAAAATTAAATTTTTTTTTTTTTTTATTAACGAAATTTACAACTGTAATTAATAATAAATGCAACAAGTAAATATGAACAAGTAATATGACATGTACAACATGAGGAGAAACTAATTAAATATATTTGTTTAAATTTTCCTCAAATTTATTAATTAACTGACACATAGAAATGAAGGAATGTAGAGAAACTTAAAAAGATTAAAGGTATGAAGAATAAGTATATATTGATTTCAGATATTTAATTTTAATTAAAAATGATATATCTACATACATTCATAATTATAAATTATCCACATTGTAATGAAAAATTTATTTTTTAATCAAATTGAAATTTAAAATGTCATACATTTCGAAAATTGTTTCTCCTTTCACTGAATACTTCTTTTAATTGAGAAAAAGAGCATCCACAATATGATCTGATATTAGGAGACTAATTTTGTAACAAGCATCCTCTGCTGGTTCTTTGTCAACATTAACATTAATACTGTTAATTTATTCGTTATATTTTTTTATAAGAGTATTTTTTTCTTTTACCGAGTAAACTAGTGAGCAAAGCTCTATCTGTTTCATTCAGCTTTTACTTTAATGACTCCCAGTATTGATCAACCATGAGCTCTCCTGAGAACAAGAGCTTAAATCTATTCTTCAACTCAATTTTGAATCATGATTCATACTTGCTTCCTTCCACATGATTTCCTATTTTGTTCATTCAGAGTTTATTATAGTTTGATTATAACTAAAGACTGGTCCAAATAGCTTTTTATGTCTTGGATGGAGCTCTGATCAATCTAGTTTTTTATACTTTGAGTGCTTATCCATGTATGTACCAGTGGATATTTAAATATTATAAATATAGTTTATAGATAATGTTTCAGATAGACTAATTAATTAGACTATAAAAAATTATGCTTTTATTACTACATGATTTTTTACTCGTTATTTTAAAGTTTTACAGACTATGGAATCATAAATATTTTTCGTTTTTTTACGTAATTTATTTTTAGCTGAAAAAATTTTAATTTACCTATGTGATGGACACTGTTTTTTTTTATTTTATTTTTTATCTTTTCTATGTTACAATTATAGAAATGTGTGCCCATGGTTAGTCTTGGAAAAATAAGAAATTTTATAGCGGTATGTCAAATAGTTTTAATATTGTCAATGAAGAGTTGTTAAATTCTCATAAATAGATTAAAAACAGGTTGCAGGAAGTTATTATAAGTGAGAGAATAGGGTCATTGTCATTTTATAGGATTTTCCATGTTTATTCATATGACATATAACATTATATAGCTAAACATAACAGAAAATACTTAATTAAAATTTAAGTTTAATTTTTTTTAGAAAGCTTGAATTTTCAAATTTATTCCTTGAACATTCGGCAAATTTGGGAACATATCAGTGATTTATTATAGTTAGAAAAAGCTGGTTATAATATTTAAGATGGAACATTGTTTCAGTATGATAAATAAAATATTTTCATTATAATAATTTCATCATGAATTATAATAGAAGAATTTTTTTTTTTTTTAACTTACCTTATCCTTTATTTGCTGTAATATGCTTTTATGAACTCAAAATTATTTGTTTTATCTTTTTATGATTTGTTTCCCAAATATTTTAAACTATAGTTTTTAAATTGTAATGCATTTCTACCTTCTATTTTAACTATGTTTGGTTATTTACATATAAGTATTATTTTTTACTTCCATTAGTTCAGTTATTATTTGATTGAGTAAGTAGTTATTATACACTTATTAAATACCAAATCTTTCTTTGTCCTGCTCTTATTGTCTCTAAGCTTAGAGCATGAGCTGAACCTTTGCCTCCTTCCACCACTCAATCTCATCTCCAGCCATTTGGAGTATCTGGAGAAACGAAATCTAATCTATATTAACTAAATGTAAAAATTTATGAAGTAGAATTGTGGGTCATTAACAATACTTTAGGGTAAAATCCCTGTATCAGAGGATTTACTACTGTGTTAACTTAAACTGGTGAACTTATGGTTATCTATTTTCTATTTGTTAATCATATCAAATATTTTAAACAAAATAAAAGAAATAAATAAAACTAGTTTTGTTTATGTAAATATCATTGTCATAAAACAAAAAAACTATTTGCTATTCTTTATCACATCAGCAGTGCCGGTCTAAGATATGATACGGTCTTAGATGTGATACGGCCATTGCCACATGCATCGACCTAGAAGTCGCCCTCTGGTTAGAAATATAAAAAAAAGTACAAAACGTATTCAAATAATTAATTCTAGCCTATCAATTAAGCAATTGTGTTAGAGAAATGTTGAATGAAATCAAATTTTAAAATTGCATAATGTAAAACAGCTTAAGAAATAAATTGAATTTTTTAGGGAAGGGGAGATGACCTCACAGCCCAGGGACGCCGAATGTCTAAGGCTGAAGGTCACTTGTTAGAAATTAAAAAAAAAGTACAAAACAAAAATAGTTAATTTTAGCCTACCAATAAAGCAATTGTATTAGAGAAATGTCAATGAAATTTAATTCAAATATTACATAATATAAAATAGCTTAAGAAATAAATTTAAATTTGCAGGGAGGTAGGGAGGATGACATCATAGCCCAGAGGCGCCGAATGTCTAAGGCCGGCACTGCATATCAGCAACCATGTTCCATAGAAATACAATAACATATCTGTATTACTCGAATGCTTGTAACAGTCATATATGATTTTCTTGTGATATTAAATTTCATTTGAAAAACATATTTCTGAAGATGATATATATTTTAATGCTAATATTGGAAATGAAAAAATAAGTAATCAGAATTTATCATATAATTATTGGAAATATGATATTCATACATAAATAATCTTTATTAAAAAAGCGTAACATTGTTAATTTTTTAAAATAAACTAGTATGTACATCATTTATATACATGTTATTAACATGCTTCAATAAAGAAACAATTAGTTCATTTCTAAAGCTTTCATAGAATCAGCTTTAGATACATTTACATACAGAGAGAATTATCTCTCTATTGTTGTCATATATTAACCATTTAAATAAAACTTTAAACAGTTCATTTAAAGGACTGAATTACCTTTATGAATGTTATTTTAGTTATATAAAATTATCAATTGTTTATTGATTTGGTAAAACAGATGCTTTTACTTCATTTATTTTTTTGGTCACCTGGTTAGTGTTTCGGGCTGATACCTATTCCCTGAACCAGGTTGATTTCCAATAGTGTATGAATATGAATATCCATTTTGTGCGTTAGGAATGTCATCTCCTGTTGCAACAAAGCCTTCACTTGCACTGGCTCGATACTTCACAGTTTTTATTTTACCATCTCCAGCCATATACCTATACATACCATGAATATTTCCTTGCTCATCTTTATGCTCTTCTCTCATATGTTCTCCTGCATTATATGAAAAGAAATATGTTCCAGGAGAAGGATGATCATTTTCTGTGCTTTTTGTTGATTGTTGATAAGTATCTTGTGAGCCTATAAAATCTTTTGTTTGCACAGGTAGGTGTTGACCTTGAGCAACAAATCCTTTTTCAGAATTAGCTTCATAATTTACTTGTTTTCTTTCTCCATCTGTACCATCAAAACTAAACATTCCGTGTACATTTCCCTGACTGTCACGACTTTCTGTCCTTTCATGATCTCCTGCATTGTAAGTAAATGTGTATGCACCATATTCTGGTGAAAGTTGAACGTATTGAGGTGATTCTGTGTAATACATATATGGATCACCAAGGCTAGGAGCAATATAATCATATGTTTGAACAGGTTGTACATAAAATTGAGGTGGTTGATAAACAGTTTTTCCTCTTCTATAAGTTAATTCGGATTGGGGTGTACTGGAAAATGGAATTTGTGTAGTAGTTGAAGTGCTGGGTGAATACTGATATCCTGTTGCTGGACTGCTGTAGGAGTATGTCAAGCCATTCCTAGTTGTGACAAATGGCCTTGAAGTACTAGGTGTGATATATCGTTGCCCTGACCTAGCTGGGATATTTACAACTGGAGTACTTTCACTGGTTGTGATTCCTATACTAGGATTTCCTTCATAGTCAATCTGTTTGCTTCCTCCATAAGTATTAACATACTTAATAGAACCCCTAAAATTTCCCAAAGTGTCACCAGTTTCATGTCGTGAATGATTTTTTGATGCAAATGAAAATGAATAACCATCTCTTGTTGCTGGCCGGTATGTAGTTGCTGGCCGATATGTAGTTGCTGGCCGGTATGTTGTTGATGGGCGGTAAGTAGTGGCTGGAATAATAGCTAGATGATCATAATTTATATTAGGTTTAAATAGTTGCTTTTGCTGGTTTACACTCTCATGATTATAACCTTCAGTTGATACCTCAAATACTTTATTCATACTACCTCCTGAATAGTCAGTCTCATGTCTTGGGTAAGCAGGAGTAATATAAGGGTAGGATTGATATAATCCATCAGGATGTTCTTCCCTAATGACATTTGATTCTGTAGACCAATGGCGATAAGGTTGTTGTCCTTCCACATTTGGACCAGATACAGATCTTTTTGTGGAAGTTTCATCTACCTCAGATTTGCTTTTTTCAGTGGTTGTCGAATAATTATCACGCCCTCTGTTTTTATCTGTTTGTATCTCAAATGATGTTTTGTTCTGTGGATTATAAGTATTAAATGGTTCATTTATATTTGATTTGAGTGCTTCATAACGTGCTCTTTCTCTTGGCTTTTTCGTTTGAACATATGAAAAACTTTTCCGTAAGTTTCCCTGAGGTTTGTATCCAATGATTGCTTCTTTGCTTTCTTCATCAGGGCTAATATAGGGGTTTCCTAGAATTCCACCTGAAACATAAATGATAATTTTTTTAGAAAAGAAATTATGTTTATTATTGAATTATTGACAGCCTATTGACTTTAATCATAAGTTTAGAATGTAAGAATTATTCAATGATAAATGTACTAAATAAAATTTAATTACTAACTAAATCAAATTTTGAAAAAAGTGAAAAAATAGAATTTTTTTATTTCTGAAATTAACTATAAAATTTATTCCATTCAACATGTGATTATAAAAACCTATGATTATGGTTGGTGTTACAGACCATATAAGTCTTTGACATATTTTAAATTTCAAACAATAATATTTGGACTTTTTAAAATTATAAACTAATTGTGGTTAATCTTTAAAAACATAAATAAGAAATTACAGTTTTATTTTGGGGTTGATGTTTTATTGATGACAACTGCTTTTTTAACAAAATTGATTCGAATCGAGTTTGTTTTAATGCAAATTAATTAGTTTGTTTATTTGAATTAACTTTATTTTCTGATTGATTTTTGCATCGATCATTATCTTTTAAAATATATTTATTCATTTTAGGCAAACTAAATTAACATTAATAAATACAATAAACAACTTAGAGGTCTGATGACAGCTCAATCAAGACATTTAATTTTTTTTTCCGCGCGATTACTCTGGATGAGAAAAAAAGTAAAGTTTGATAAAAATAATTGGTTTTTGAAGGCCTGTATAAAAAAATTAAAAAATCACAGGAACAATTATGAAAGCTTTTTATACTGGATAAATTTTTAAATATTTATTTTTGTCATGTCCGTAAGCTAATTACTAAATGTAAATTCAGTACCTGAAATACATGCATTAAAATTTTAAAATCGTAAACATTTTCATTGCTTGAGTGCTTAGATAGCACAGATCACTCACAGAAACAGATATAGACCAATGGAAATAAAACATTTATATATTTATTTAAGTTTTTTTTTTTTTTTTTTGATTACTTGTAAAACTGGAATTTAGAGAGGAGGGATGAGAGGGTTGTTATAGAGCCACAACGTACCCATTATAACCAGAGTGAGTTATTTTACATAAAATAAACCTAGTAAAAATACTCGCGGTAAATTTAAATAGATTGTTTAATATACCATCTCTTGTATTTTGTATTGCAAACATTACATTGTTCAGATATTGTATAAGGTGTTACCTATATCATAACGACATATTACAATAAAATATAAATATACAAAGTAACATGTTAATAAAACATATTTTTGTATTTTATTTATTTCTTAAAACTTAGCAATTAAACTCGTGATATGTTTATAATTTGGCCTGAATAGACAATTAGATGTTATCTAATCAAAACCTGAATCGATAGTAACTCAAATACGCTAGTAAAAAAAAATGAATTAAATAAAAAGTAAAAGTAAAATAAATAAATAAGTTAATAGGTAAAATTATGAATTTATAATTTGGTGAACAGCTTACTTTAATGCTATACATCCATACATATCAAATGAAAATTATTGTTGTAAAAAGAAATCTGCCTCGAGCGGGCTCATTACCGCGTATGGGGAGCGTCCCACGGGTGGCGGATGTGGGGATGGTCGGTGGAAATTCCTTGGAAGTTCCTTCCGGCTAAGTCCGATGGACTCGCTGACCGACAATGAGAGGGGTCCTCCAGACTTGCTGGAGGGAGGGGACCTCCAGACTTGCTGGAGGTAGGGGCCCACCAGACTTGCTGGAGGGTGTGACGTAGGATTGAACGCCCTACCCACATATCTTTAGTTCACCAAACACCACAAAAAGTCATGGATCTCCCTAAGGTAAAACGCTCATTATCCGGAGGTAAACTAGTCCCCCGTTCGGGTCTCCGGGTGGGGACTGCTTTAGGGGATTCATGGCGCAAGTTGAAATATAGGGATTTAAATATTGGTACGTGGAACGTAAGGAGTTTAAACACAGCAGGGGGGCTAAAATCGGTCGCGAATGAGGTAAATGGGTACAATTTGGATGTCGTGGCTCTGCAAGAGGTTCGCTGGCCAGGGGAGGGCTCGATGAGGGAAGGGAAGTACACTATTTGGTACGGAGGAAGCGGGAATTATTGTTTGGGTACCGGGTTTCTAATTAGGAGTAGATTACTATCCGCTTTGAGGGACGTACAATTATTTAGTGATAGAATTTCGGTAGCTACATTTCAGAGACGTTGGTTTAAAATCGCATTAATAAACATACATTGTCCGACCGAAGACAGTGACGATGAAGTCAAAAGTGAATTTTACGATAAAATCGAATGGGTTTATGATAAACTACCGCGAAACTACATGAAAATAATTGTAGGTGACGCGAACGCAAAGGTAGGAAGGGAAGAAGTTTATATTCCGACGATTGGTAAAGAAAGTTTGCACGAATATAGTAATGATAATGGGATCCGTCTGATAAACTTTGCCATCTCGAAAAACCTGATAATTATAAGTACGACGTTTAAACATAAGGATATTCATAAATATACTTGGACATCACCGGATTCGCAAACACGAAATCAAATCGATCATGTCTTGATACAACACAGCTGGCAAAGCAGTATAATCAATGTCCGGTCTTATCGCGGAGCAAAATGTGGGTCGGATCATGAATTGGTAATCGCGAAACTTCGACAAAAACTTAATATAAAAAAGGGAAAAGAAAACCGTTTCGATTTTGAGAATTTTAATTTGGAAAAATTAAAAAATCCATCAATTAGAAACCAATTCGAGCTAGATGTTAAGAATAGGTTTGAAGCTTTAGAGCTTCCTGACGAGGACCACGAGGATATTGACAAGTTATGGATAGAGATCAGGGATAATATTAAAGCGGTCGGTAACTCGTGTCTAGGAAAAAAGGAAAATAAGAATAACAAACCGTGGTTTGATGAAGATTGCTTAAACATGTGTGAAAAAAGAAAAGCCGCTAAATTAAAAGCTCTAAATAATCCTAGCGAAGATAATCTGGAATACTTTCGAATCTCAAAGAACGAAACGACAAAATTGCTCAAAAATAAAAAAAGAGAGCACCTTAAAAATAAAATAATTGAAATAGAAACTAATAGAATCGAAAATAACGTAAGAGACATGTACAAAGGTATAAACAGATCACGTAAATATGTAGGGCCCGTAACGTCTGGAATTAGGGATGATAATAACAATATTCTGACCGATCCGGTTGACATATTGAATAAGTTTAAGGACCACTTTGACAATATTTTAAATACGGGAAATTATGATCTGTGTCTTCCTTCTGAGTCCCAGAGTGCTGAACCGTTAATAGAAGGACCAAGTAAAGAGGAAGTTGAAGTAGCTATCGGAAAATTAAAATCATATAAAGCAGCGGGAATCGATAATATTCCTACTGAACTAATTAAGGCATGCGGGGAAGCTGGAGTTTCTAATATACATCGGTTGGTTAAAAAGATCTGGGTGAACGAGAAATTACCTGAAGAATGGAAAGAATCTATTCTTATTCCGATTCACAAAAAGGGTCCGAGGACGGATTGTAATAACTATCGAGGAATTTCACTCCTTCCGGTATGTTATAAAATATTCACTTTAATCTTAACCAGTCGAATCACGGAATACGCCGAGGAAATTATTGGAGACTACCAATGCGGATTTAGACGGAATCGTTCGACTATTGATCAAATATTTTCTTTACGGCAAATATTAGAGAAAAAATTGGAGTATAACGGTATTGTTCACCAGTTAAATTAAATTTGTGAATAATTTGATGAATTTTCTCTTTCTGAAATCCTCAAATTATCGTGTCTTCCTCTGAAGTACCTTTAATTTGGTTTATTATAAATAATAACTATTTATCATTGTTAGGAGTTAAAAAAAAAATGCTAAATATAACTTTTGAAAGAATTTAATAATTGAATAGATAATAAAAAAGAAAAATATATATCTAGGCCGGAAATAATAGTCAGAAGGTATACGTATACTATATCGTCAGAAAGCGGAGAATTGAAAAAAAAATACCTAATATAGTATTGAGTACTTGATTACCTTCAGTGCTCGAAACATGCCCTAATGATGACCCACATGTTTGGGTTGAAACGTCAGCACCAATAAAATCTTTATAATGACTGCGTAATCACCATTTATCACCCATGATTAAATTAAATTAGTAAATAATTTGATGTATTTTCTCTTTGTTAAATCTCAACATTACCCACTTACAATTAGTTTGGCAAATTTTGACCAGTAAAACAATTTTGACCACAGAAAATTTTGGCAAATTTTCTATGGCTGTAAATAAAAACCTCGTAATTTCATTTTAGTAAACTTTACTATGGAAAATAACAGTTTAATAACTAACAAGCGTACAATCCAAAAAAACATTTATAGGTTGAATATACAGATATACTTTCAAATCTCTCTAGGCAGTATATATATATCTCAGAGAATGGAGTTATGTAGTTTACAAAAACAGACAGAATAACGAGGTTTTTATTGCCTACTATTGATATAATTAATAGGGTTTTTGTTGTAGTTAATGATTTGTTAGCTATAAGCTTTAGATTGTAGCTTCGTTATGAATGCACTTCAAAATATTAAAATAGCCCAACATTGCCAGAAAATAATTTCTATTTTAAGTAGAGCGGTAAGTGAAAGTTGTGTGTTGCGCACACTAGATTTTTTTTAAGTTGTCAAACAATCTCGTGCTTAACTTGACCATAGGCAGAGAATCATTTTACGATTAGAGACCGGAGTAAGTTTTAGCAGTGCAAATGAAGGCCGCCATACTTGTTTATATTTTACCAAAGCCATTATTGTTTATAAGTAAATACGCAAGCCCACTCACATCCATTTACACATATTCAACTTAATTCCATAATATTTCAAATTTAAATTAAATATACCGCTAGATTAATAAATATCGCGGAAAAAACTAAAGGCCACAGGTTTTTCTTGTGGAGACTAGAAGTCCGAAACTTCAAAAGTGTCAAGTTGGAGCTCGAAAAAGTTGAAAAAAAAATTTCCTAACCAAATAAATAAGTTGTAATATTTAA